GAGGTCGGGGGACAGGTGGCTGGCGGGAAGCAGAGCTGGTGGGGGGGTCAGGGGCAGTGGGGCTGACCAGCAGAGATTGGGGGAGGGGTGGCCGGTGGGAAGCAGGACTGCTGGAAGGTGTCGGGGGCAGCGGGGCTGGCCAGGGGAGATCAGGAGAAGGGCGGCCGTTTCCCCAAGCAAAGCCGGGTAACTCCAGCTAGTCTGTTTATAATGAAAGGTGAGTATCAGAGGGAGAGTTTATCGACAGTGGGGGATGGCAGAAGGGGATGCGTGGAGGGGGGTAGAACAAGAGAGCGGAGTCTGGGGAAATAGAACTGAACGAGAGAATCTGATCATAGCAAATCCATCTGTTTTCTGCAACGTCCTTCCTCTCCTGCCCCAGCTAATTCTCAGGGGGTTACCACTGTCTGTCTCCGGTCCTAGGCTTTAGGCCTGGCCTCTCATATCTGTACTACAAATCCCTTTTGCTTTAAAAGTGTAGCTTACCCCAGCAATCCAGAGATAGGCCCTACAGATAGGCCCCTGTGGTAAATCGGTAAAAAACACATTTGTTCCTTCAGTTAGGTAATTTTAAAAAGCCATACTCACATAATCCTTATTCGGCATTGGGGAGGCCATATCTGGAGTATTGTGTCCAGTTCTGGTCCCTCCACTATAGGAAGGATGTGGGCGCAGTGCAGAGGGTCCAGTGGAGGGCAACCAAAATGATTAGGGGGCTGGAGCATATGACCTAGGAGGAGAGGCTGAGGGATTTGGGCGTGTTGAGTCTGCAGAAGAGAAGAGTGAGGGGGGATTTGAGAGCAGCCTTCAACTTCCTGAAGAGAGGTTCCGAAGAGGCTGGACAGAGGCTGTTCTCGGTGGTGGCGGATGGCAGAACAAGGAGTAATGGTCTCAAGTTGCAGTGGGGAAGGTCTAGTTTTAGTATTAGGAAAATCTGTTTCCCCAGGAGGGCAGTGAAGCACTGGGATGGGTTCCAGAGGGAGATGCTGGAATCTCCATCCCTAGAGGTGTTTCAGTCCCAACTGGTCAAAGCCCTGGCTGGGATGATTTAGTTGGGGTTGGTCCTGCATTGAGCAGGAGCCTGGACCTGATGCCTCTTGAGGTCTCTGCCAGTCCTGGGATTCTATGAACTCAGACCCACTCGTCCAGGCCCAGGTGAACTTCATCCAGAGGGGATATCTGCTAAATGTCCAAAGAAAGCCGACATCTTTCCTAATGGATTGTGTGACTGTAGGATGTCACTTCTAACACTGTTTCATGGAGCAAGGGGCTGATAATCATTGACTTTTATTTCTGTACTTTTCAGGGAAACTTACTGGAGAAGTGGGTAAGTGTCAAATGGCCTTTTTCCACTCGGGGGCCCAGGTCGGGGGTCACGTGGGAGCTGCACACCCTTGCAAGGACTTGTGTGGGGGAGGGGTGTGTGCAGGAACTTAGTGGGCTCTGGTGGGGGAAAGTTGGAGCCCTGAGGGCTTGGGTGTGGGGAGGGGCCCAGATGCCATGTGGCCTTGTGAGGACTGGGGTGGTGGGGAAGACACGTGTGGGACCCCAGAGCCTTGCAGAGGTTTGGGTGGGGGAGGGGGCATGCAGGACATGTACAGTGTCACTGTTGGTCTGGGGGTAGGGAGTGCGTTGGAGCTGCATGGGTGGGGGGCTGGAGCTCTGTGGCTTCCCTTCCAAGTCAGAGGGCTGGGCCCACAGTGGCCTTGGCCAAACCCAGCCCCCCAGCGGCCAGAGGGGAGAGAGCTGGGCCAGCCTCAGTCTAGCTCAACCCTCCCCCACCTTCCCCAGGGGCAGGAGGGGAGAGAGCTGGCCAGCTGCAGCCTTGGTCCGGCCCAACACCCTCTTCTTGCTGGCCGGAGTCAGGAGGGCTGGGACAGGCCAGGGCTGCTATGCCTCAACCTAGCTCTCGCCAGGGCCAGGAAGGGTCTGCCTGCCCTGAGGGGGGGGTGGGCGAGTGTAGCGAGCAGGGGTAGGCAGCCCCTTTAAATTGAAACATAAATCAGGATGAGATTCAGCCTCACAGCTCAGTATCTGGCACAGATTTGGATCAGCATTAAGCCTGTGCGTTGTGCTTATTAAGGGACTAGTATGTGATATTAGTATGTGGTATTAAATAAGATATTGGGATGAGAGCAAATCTGATCAGTTTTACCCCGGTAAATATGAAACAGTTACTAATAGAAAGTGGAGGTTTGTTTATGGCCTAGGTGTGAGGGATTCATGCAGTGAAACACTCTTTAATATGGAGTAACTGAAAATATTCTTCAATAATTTGTGTTTGTATCTGTGTCTATTTTATTTCCCTAGAGAAACATCTTAGTACAATTGGTAAGTTTGATTTTTCCCGTTGCAGCCTTTTCTGTGCACTGTTGGGTTGTTTCATTGACTAAAAGATTTCCCCGGCCTTGCTCAGGTCCTTAACTGAAATAATGTGTGTGGTTTTTTTTAATTGAAAGCCTTGCTCTGGGGTAGGGCTGGGCTGAGGGGTTCAGTTTGCAGGCAGCCTTAGCAGAGAGATCAGCCTTTGTCATTGCAACAATTTGGGGTCAAGTGAGAAGCACCATGGCTGAGAAGCACAAGGGAGCCAAGAGGGCTCAGGCAGGGAAGAGGTGGGGGTATGCAAGAGATGTGCAGCCTTGAGCAGCTCGGATGGGGCCAGGTGGGAGCCCGGAGGACTCGGGTGCAGGGAGGGGACCAGGAGCTGCGTGGTCTTGCGAGGACAGGGGTGATGGGGAGGACGCATGTGGGAACCCCAGAGCTTCGTGGAGGTTTGGATGGGGGAGGGATGCACAGGACACGTGTGGCGTTGCTGGTGGTCCAAGGGCAGGGGGTGCGTAGGAGCACCACAGCCTTTCCCCTCATTGGCAGGGAGCCGGAGCTGCGTGTCCTCCCTCCTCCCAGCCAGAGGGAGAAGACCGGGCACTGTGGCTCTCCCCTGGCTCCCAGTCCCTTCCAGAAGGAGATGGCTTGGTACTCGGTCCCCTCCACTCCCCCTCCCTCCCGGCCAGAGGGAGAGTGCTGGTCCACAAATGCAATATTTGACCAAGTTAGACAACTGCTCATATTGTTATTGGTTTCTCTGATTGGCCTCGCTGCCAGGGACGGCCCGAGGTGGGCTGTGGCAGCTGACGCTCCAGACGGAAGGTGCGATCGGCGCCCCCGCCTCGCCCCAGCCAGCAATAGAGTGACATCATCATCGGGCCCTGGGCACCCCATTGAAGGTGGTGCCCTAGGCGACAGCTGAGTCAGCCTATAGTCACGGGCTGCCCCTGCTCGCCGCTTATCTGTTTAAAACGAAAGGTAAGCATCCGAGGGAGAGTTTATAGACAGTGGGGGATGGCAGACGGGCGTGTGTGTGTGGAGGGGGGTAGAATAGGAGAGCGGAGTCTGGGGAAATAGAACTGAACGAGAGAATCTGATCATAGCAAATCCATCTGTTTTCTGCAACGTCCTTCCTCTCCTTCCGCGGGTAGTTCTCAGGGGGTTACCACTGTCTGTCTCTGGTCCTAGGCTTTAGGCCTGGCCTCTCATATCTGTACTACACATCTCTTTTGCTATTAAAGTGTAGCTCATCCCAGCCATACAGAGATAGGCCCTAGGGACAGGCCCCCATGGTAAATCAGTGAAAATCACATTTGTTCCTCAGGTGATAAAAATAACCCCATACTCACTTAACTCTTATTCGGTGTTGGTGAGGCCACATCTGGAGTATTGCGTCCAGTTCTGGGCTCCCCACTACAGAAAGGCTGGGGACACATTGGAGAGGGCAACCAAAATGATTCAGGGGCTGGAGCACATGACCTATGGGGAGAGGCTAAGGGATTTGGGCTTGTTTAGTCTGCAGAAGAAAGAGTGAAGAGGGATTTGAGAGCAGCCTTCAACTTCCTGAAGGGGGGTTCCAAAGAGGCTGGAGAGAGGCTGTTCTCAGTGGTAGTAGATGGCAGAATGAGGAGCAATGGTCTCAGGATACAGTGGGAGAGGTCTAGGTTGGATATTAGGAAAAACTATTTCGGGTTCCAAAGAGGCTGGAGAGAGGCTGTTCTCAGTGGTAGTAGATGGCAGAATGAGGAGCAATGGTCTCAGGATACAGTGGGGTTGGTGTAGGTTGAATATAGTGAAAAACTATTTCCCTAGGCGGGTGGGGAAGCACTGGGATGGGTTCCCTAGGGAGGGGGTGGAATCTCTATCCCTAGGGGTGTTTCAGTCTCAGCTTGACAAAGCCCTAGCTGGGATGATTGAGTCAGGGTTGGTCCTGTTTTGGGCAGGGACTGGACCGGATGCCTCCTGAGGTCTCTGCCAGCCCTGGGGTTCTATGAATTCAGACACACCCGTCCCGGCCCAGGTGAACTTCCTCCAGCAGGGATATCTGCTGAATGTCCAAAGGAAGCCGACATCTTTCCCAATGGATTGTGTCACTATAAAAGATGTCGCTTCTAACACTGTTCAATGGCGCAAGGGGCTGATAAACATTGACCTTTATTTCTGTGCTTTTCAGGGAAAGTTACTGGAGAAGTGGGTAAGTTTCACATGGCCTTTTTCCACTCGGGGCCCCGGGTGGGGGTCATGAGGGAGCCTGAAACAAAATACAGGACTACGCAGCACTTTAAAGACTAACAAGATGGTTTATTAGATTATGAGCTTTCGTGGGCCAGACCCACTTCCTCAGATCAAATGTGCAAGAAAATAGTCACAACCATATATACCAAAGGATACAATTAAAAAAAAGAACACATATGAAAAGGACAAATCAAATTTCAGAACAGAAGGGGGAT